GAAAATTGGTGATGATTCTTCAATGTTTAGGTATGCTAGCCTTTTTGAATGGAAAGTTGCTACATACTGGGCTAGCTGTCATTAGAAATAAATTGTGCAAGTCTGCCACTTCAATCATAGAGAAAATAAGTTAAACATTGATTGATTAATTAAGTAATTAATACGTGAAACGAGATCTCCTTTTATATGTGGCGTCTTTCTTGAGTTTTTGAATAACAGGTCTGCCATTTTCAGTTTTCTTCACAGAAGGAATGAGAGTGGTGAGGAAGGGATTTCATATTTTCATTCGAGGGACTACCTAATCATCTAAGAATTCAGATGTTACGGTTGGCTCATGGTAATATATTTTCGTATAAGCAGCAGCAGTGGTATCTAGGGCAGTCTCAGGCCTTCTAATTATATCTCGACTCATCCAAGCGTTGCTGATACCACGCACAAGGAATAATCTCTGTTGGGAGAAAACTTTTCTAAAAGAAAAACTATACTATACAAATTCTGTTATAATTTAGTAAAATCCTTTTCCTTGTAAAGGTAAGCAAGTAATGCTAACAATAAAAGACACAACAGAGCAGCTGCAGGATAGCTTAGTTATTTAATAATAAACTCTACAAGTCAAGTCTGCTAGTTATTATTTAAATTAACTATTTCTTTTGTTTTAGATGAGATGTTGAAAACTTCAAACAAAAGCCAGCAAAACGTGGAAACATAAATAAATAATAAACTATCTATTGATGTCAGCAATGAGATATAACTTAAGATCTTACTATTATATTTGCATCTTTCTTGACTATTTCATTTCTCACAACTCAATAAGAGCCTGTCATTTTCAGCTTTCTGTACAGAGAGAGGGAAAGAGATTCAAAGGGGTAAGGATTTCATTCATGGAGACAGAACAAATTAATCCAAGAGTTATAATGTTTCCATGGTTGGCTCATGGTCATATATTTCCCTACCTTGAGCTAGCCAAGAAACTATCACAGAAAAACTTCCAAATTTACTTTTGTTCTACAGCTATCAATCTTAGTTCAATCAGTAAAGTCATTGAAAAAAACTTTTTTAATATCTCAATAGAGCTAGTAGAACTCCTTCTACCGTCGTGGCCTGAACTTCCTCCGCATTACCACACGACTAAAAACGTGCCACCCAATCTTTTGCCACAGCTCCTGCAGGCCTTTCAAATGTCAAGCTCCAACTTTTCAGACATTATCAACACTCTAAAGCCAGACTTGCTTGTATACGATCTTTTCCAACCATGGTCTGCCGGGCTTGCTTCATCACTAGGTATTCCAGCAGTCCATTTTTCATCTGCAGGAGCAATTATGTATACATTTTACCATCATGAATTCACATACGGGAATGCTGCTTTCCCTTATCAGACAATATATCTAAGAGACTATGAAAGAATCAATCGGAACTTCCGATCAATAATTAAAGATGCAGGTGAAGATTTTGCTTTTGGAAACTACAAACGATCTTGTGACATTGTTTTGATGAATAGCTGCAGATCGATTGAGGGCAAGTATATTGATTATCTTTCTACCTTGTGCCAAAAACGAGTGGTAGCTGTTGGACCACTTGTTACACAACCTGATAATGAAGAAGAATATTCAGAGATCATGCAATGGCTAAGCCAGAAAAATCAGTTTTCAACTGTGTTTATTTCCTTCGGAAGTGAAAACTACTTGTCCACGGAGCAGATTGAGGAGATGGCACGGGGATTAGAGCTTTGTGATGTTAACTTCATATGGGTTGTTAGATTTCCTGTTGGGAATACCACAAGAATAGAAGAAACAATACCAGCGGGCTTTATTGAGAGGGTGAAAGAGAGAGGTATGATTGTGCAGGGATGGGCACCACAGGCTAAAATTTTGGCACATCAAAGTATTGGTGGTTTTATGAGTCATTGTGGATGGAGTTCTATAGTGGAAAGCATTTATTTTGGTGTTCCAGTTATAGCCATGCCTTTGAAGCTTGATCAGCCTTTAAATGCTAGGCTCATGGTCGAGATTGGTGCCGCCGTAGAGGTTGTGCAGAATGACGGTGGAGGGTTCAATGGAGAAGAGGTGGCAAAGGCTATAAAGATGGTGGTGTTGGAGAAGACAGGAGAAGGCATGAGGTCAAAGGCTATTGAATTGAGGAGTAAGATGAAAGATGAAGAAGAAGTGGCCATGAATGAAACATCAGAGCAATTATTGCAGCTCTGTATCAAGTATAAGCAGAAGCAGTGATAATCTCCATTCAAACATTTCCTAAAATGGGCTAGAAGAAATAAGTGAGAACCATTCAAAAGGAATAATCTCCAGTGAAGAGTATGAATCAAATTGTGTTCCATCTATCTATCTATGTTAAGCCTTGTCTTTGGTTCATTTACATTTATGAATGAAAATCAATTCTGGAAACTTGAGATAATGCTTATGAAAAATCGATCATGAGATTTGCTTAGACAATTGTGTAGAGGACTACTATATTTCAATTGAAAATGATATTTTGTTCTGTTCTTAAATAGAAGTTGATGCCTTGAAATGGAAATAATTAATTGTTGTTTAATAAGAAATATATGATGATGCGACCAAGGAGATCATACAACATCACAAAAATAAATCATTGCCATACTTACAAAACCTGTCCTTGATTTTCTCTTTCCTTTCAACTTAATGATGAAACCAAATGGGGGAAGTTCATCATCTAAATCTGTACACCATAACATCCTATTACATAAATATTCCTAAAAATCTGCTGCTTTTGCTCATGAAGAAACTGTAAAACATGATTCTTTAAGGTAGAATTCAGCAACCTAGATCAATCAGAAATTAGTTGAACTGGAGTCATTTTCAAGCTGTTTTTGCAACTGATTTCGGTTGGAATCTTCAACTATATGGAGCCTTGGTTAGTTAGGTAGTTAATAACTAATTTTGATACATCTTTGTGTCTATAAATAGCTGTATTTGTTGTATGAATGGAAGGTAACTCGAGAATGAGAGAAAGTGAGATAAGATAGAGTAGTGAACTCTTGTAAATCTGTAAAAATTGTTTCTGATGATTTCAGATTGTAAAT